GAGATATTACGACGATTTTCAAGCGTGTGACGATCGTTTAGAGATCGTAGAAGGGTGTTTAAACGCGGAACGGTCTCCGTTTCGAGGATGGGGGAGAAGGCTGGTTCGTCGACCTCGTAAAACCGATCCTATTTCGCGAATCCCCGACGTGGACGCAGAAATCAGTCCATTTGTCCCGCGTTAAAATTCACAACGCGCGATCGTTGGTCGCAGACCTACAGTTGCCTAGATACGACAAACGTGATCGAGAGGAATGGACACGCCGTCGTTGCTGGCTAGCAACAATACCCAAAATCTAGTCTCGCGTTACTTTGGGAAAATTGCTTGATCGAATAAACACGTGGAACCGAATCATTTTATCTAAATTATTCCAGATATCGTTCGTGGATCAAACGTGATCCAGCATCTATATATACAAAATTTACTTTCGTGTTATTTTGGGGAAATGGATTCGTGACATCGAAATAGGTAAGCGTTTCACCGAATTATTTTTGATTCGTATCTAATTGTAAGATACCGATAATATCGTTTCTATTGATCAAAAATACGGATTAACTTGGATTAATAGGATTGTAGAATTTTAATGGCAAAATATCTATGCATATACTTATAATTTTATTTTAGGTGAAACTGAATCGTTTTATCTAAATTATTAAATACCGATAATATCGTTTCTATCGATCAAAAATACTTGAATTAGCTTGAATTAATAGGATTAAATTGTAGAATTTTAATGGCAAAATATCTATGCATATGCTTATAATCTATTTTATTTTAGATGAAACTGAATCATTTTATCTAAATTATAAAATACCAATAATATCGTTTCTATTGATCAAAAATACGGATTAAACGCTTAAGTTAATAGGATTAATGGCAAAATATCTACGCATATTCCAAAAATCTACTTTCGCGTTGCTTTGGAAAAATAACTTTTTGATGTCCATCGAATGAATAAGTGGAATCATTTCTGTCTCCTATCTAAACTATAATACAACAATATCTTTTCTATCGAAAAAAAAAAAAAAGATATGAATTAAACCTAATAGATAAATCGTAGAATCTTTCTGATGGTTCGTTAGCAAACCGTGCATATGGATTTAGAGTTCGATCCATAAATCCTCAAATATCGAAACGTAGAGAGGACAAGCGTGTAGAACCCGCGGACAATCGACGAATCGCAGTACGTCATCCGGTTGCGAGGATCCGCGAGCAGCCCGTATGCAAACCTATGATGCAAGTCCCATAATAATGATATTCAATGTCCGTCCGTTCACCGCGTCGCTCTTTGGAGCCATTCGTCTTCAGGAATCCCTTTGTTTGGCCGTTTTCCATTGTTTTCCGTTGTTTTTCCCCCGAGCACCGTAACTGCGCCGTTTCTCGGGGTCCCAGGGGTCACGATCCCAGTCCTGATCCGTCCGTTAGAGAAAGGAAACGGGAAAGGGAAAAAAAAGGAAAAGGGATAAAACGATCGTAAGAAGAATATCGTAAGGATAATTGGAGGGATTATCGGAGGAAAATTGGCCGTCGAAAATTTCCGCGACGAGGTTAATAATAAATTCCGAACGATTCCCGAGCGGAACCGGACGATACCGTTTTTCGTTCTGCTAATTAACAACTGGCCTCGATTTGGGTCAGAATGGTAATGAGCGGACGGATTCGACTCATGCCCGCGACATGAATATTCGGTTATTCGTATCAAAGATGACGAAGCGGAAAAAGTGGCAATGGCAGGAAGCCCGACAGCATTAAAATCGATAGGAAGGACGATTATTATTAGAACGTCCATGCCACGATGAATCGTCACCCAATTATATACATACATACACGGCTGTTATTTTAATAAGACGAATCTTGCACTATCGTTGAATGTTACGATTGCCATTTCCAAAATCACAATTTCGTACGATTTCTATCGTGTCCTAATATTCATGAATCAAAACCTGCACCCGAAACTTCTCCGACATACCTAATCCTTCTTTTTCTTTTTTTCTTTTTTTTTTTTTCACGAAATATCATGCTAACTCGTCCTCGAAGACGAATAATGCATAAAGGGAACCCAGACGGCATTTGTATGAAGCGCTCAAGAAGATGATGAAAACTGAATATAAAACTTCTACCCTCGGTTAAAAGAGAGAGAGAGAGAGAGAAGAAAGAAAGAAAAAGAGGGGGAGGGGAGAGAAAAGGAAGAAAAAGAAGAAGTAGTACAGAAGGAGAGGAAAAGCGACACGACGAGTTTCATCGACACGACGATGATATTTATCTAATTCAATGTGAATCGTTGAAGCAAATGAAATCGCGCTCGTCGTATTAATCTCGTATGCCAA